GTTTATATCTGTGTGTGACCTAACAGAAGTAGGTCTCCCTGATGCTGAACACAAAGTGGGTTTATATCTGTGTGAAACCTAACAGAAGTAGGTCCCCCGGGATGCTGAACACAAAGTGTGTTTATATCTGTGTGTGACCCAATAGAAATAGGTCCCCCGGATGCTGAACACAAAGTGGGTTTATATCTGTATGTGACCTAACAGAAGTAGGTCCCCCTGAGGCTGAACACAAAGTGTGTTTATATCTGTGTGTGACAGAAGTAGTTCCCCTGGATGCTGAGCACAAAGTGTGTTTATATCTGTGTGTGACAGAAGTAGGGCTCCCGCATGCTGAACAAAAGTGTGTTTTTATATCTGTGTGTGACCTAACAGAAGAAGGTCCCCTGGATGCTGAACACAAAGTGGGTTTATATCTGTGTGAAACCTAACAGAAGTAGGTCCCCCGGGATGCTGAACACAAAGTGTGTTTATATCTGTGTGAGACCTAACAGAAGTAGGTCCCCCTGAGGCTGAACACAAAGTGTGTTTATATCTGTGTGTGACTTAACAGAAGTAAGTCCCCCGGATGCTGAACACAAAGTGTGTTTATATCTGTGTGAGACCTAACAGAAGTAGGTCCCCCGGATGCTGAACACAAAATGTGTTTATATCTGTGTGTGACCTAACAGAAGTAAGTCCCCCGGATGCTGAACACAAAGTGTGTTTATATCTGTACAAAGTGTGTTTATATCTGTGTGTGACAGAAGTAGTTCCCCTGGATGCTGAACACATAGTGTGTTTATATCTGTGTGTGACAGAAGTAGGTCTCCCGGATGCTGAACAAAAGTGTGTTTTTATATCTGTGTGTGACCTAACAGAAGAAGGTCCCCTGGATGCTGAACACAAAGTGGGTTTATATCTGTGTGTCACCTAACAGAAGTAGGTCCCGCGGTTGCTGAACACAATGTGTGTTTATATCTGTGTCAACTAACAGAAGTAGGTCCCGCGGTTGCTGAACACAAAGTGGGTTAATATCTGTGTGTGACCTAACAGAAGTAGGTCCCTCGGATGCTGAACACAAAGTGGGTTTATATCTGTGTGTGACCTAACAGAAGTAGGACCCCCGTATGCTGAACACAAAGTGTGTTTATATCTGTGTGTAACCTAACAGAAGTAGGTCCCCTGGATGCTGAACAAAAAGTGTGTTTATATCTGTGTGTGACAGAAGTAGGGCTCCCGCATGCTGAACAAAAGTGTGTTTTTATATCTGTGTGTGACCTAACAGAAGAAGGTCCCCTGGATGCTGAACACAAAGTGGGTTTATATCTGTGTGTCACCTAACAGAAGTAGGTCCCCCGGATGCTGAACACAAAGTGGGTTCATATCTGTGTGTGACAGAAGTAGTTCCCCTGGATGCTGAACACAAAGTGTGTTTATATCTGTGTGTGACAGAAGTAGGTCCCCTGGATGTTGAACACAAAGTGTGTTTATATCTGTGTGTAACCTAACAGAAGTAGGTCCCCTGGATGCTGAACACAAAGTGTGTTTATATCTGTGTGTGACAGAAGTAGGTCCCCGGATGCTGAACAAAAGTGTGTTTATATCTGTGTGTGACCTAACAGAAGTAGGTCCCCGGTTGCTGAACTAAAGTGTGTTTATATCTGTGTGTGACAGAAGTAGGTCCCCTGGATGCTGAACACAAAGTGTGTTTATATCTGTGTGTGACCGAAGTAGGTCCTCTGGAGGCTGAACAAAAAGCTTACCTCCGTCTGTCATGCTGCTGCCTCGCTCCTCCATATCCTGTTTAATTTGTTCCAGTTCCTCCGATACCTACAAGTAAACGGCGGAGACTTAATAAGGTGACATGCGGATAAAATCACTTGTAAAAGCACTTGTTTTCAGATTCGGTCAACTCAAAAAAAAATATATAATTATGTTACATGTCTTCATTCCCCTTTCGAAAAAAATAACTGTCTCTACAATTTTAAGATATCTGAAAGCTGTTGGTCTTTTTAATAAAATTTTAATCATCATAACCACTTTGAAAGACAGCTGACAGATGATATCACTAACCTGTAAATTACTTCACCATACTTAGATTAATGTTTATTCACAACGAAGTACATCAATAATTTATCATTTTACATATATTTAAACAAAGGATATTAATGACTTACTTTTCATTTCATGGATCCAGATCTTTGTAAATACATTTTTTTATATGGACTGATGTTAAGTAAGTTATTTACAGTGGCAATGACAATACAGCAGTAAAAAAGTATTTTCGAATTTTATTATTTTATTTTTAGAATTTTCTTCAGGTTGTGAGTATGGTTCATATGTGTGACATTTAGATGACTAGTACGGTACAAAGGTGACTGGGTACAGACCATGCTAGACATCTCACATCAACTCATATCTGTCTGTGCTACATGAACCTTTCTTACAAAACAAAAGGAGTAAAAAAGATTGAAGTCAATATAAAGGAGGGGAGACAACTCCTACTGTGGTTAACAACCAATAATAGAGGCCCAAGGGCCTTAGTGGTCACCTGAGTTATATCATAGGTACTGGTAGCTTTATTTTATTGTTTAGATGTGATGTGGAAATCAGGATGTAAACTAAGTGAAATACAATACTTGTCATGTCATCAAAGGATAAAATTTGAAAATATTGGTAAATGTTCCTTTTGGGGCCCCGCCCTAGCCCCTGGGGATCGGGCAAGAATCCTAATTTTACAATGTAATATCCTCATACCCTCATTCACCAAAGATAATTCTGACTAAGTTTGAGTAATTTTCTGCTGAAAATGGATAAAATATACCCAATAGTGGTATTTCCTTATATAAACTATAGTAAACTTTACCCCCTCCCCAAGGGAGAACAGATAGCATGAGGGTCCTGAAATTTAGAATTTAAACAAAGCCCCTGATGATCTTTCCTTTTATGCACTGAAACTGAATGTAGTACCTCTGAGTCTGGAGAAGAAGATTTTTGAAATATTGGATAATTTTCCCTTTGGGGCCCCGCCCTGGCCCCAGGGGTTGGGGTAGGAATCCCAATTTTACAATTTTGAAGCCTCATCTACCAAGGATGATTCTGACCAAGTTTGAAAAAAATCCATCCCCTGGTTCTTCAGAAGAAGTTGAAAATGTAAAGAGAAATTACGCACGACGGACGACGATGATTTGAATAGGTCACTTGAGCCAAGCTCAGGTGACCTAAAANGAAGCTCAGGTGACCTAAAAAGGGAGATAATCCTTACCTCAGCTAACATCCTTGACCTTTCTGTGACACCCCCACTAGCCTGCCTATACCGCTCCTTTGTCTCCGATAACTGTTCCTGCTCTGCCCTGAACTGCACCAACAAATGCTCCAGCTGGGTGTTAATGTACTTTTCTCGGCTGGAGATCTTTTCCATGGTGCGAGTGATTTCGTCGTGGAGTTTGTCTAAGTGGGTCTTAGTTTCTGTCAGCGACGACTCTATACCGTCTTTGTGTTGGTGCATCTGTTCTACATGTACTCTCCAGTCCTGTACAATATAACACAATGTAGGGACCACGCTACATATATTTTGATTGCTTAGAATGTCTATAATGATGTTACAATACTTGGTGATGGTATACACCTAGGTAGCACAGCACTTTCAATGCACATATTTTTTTTATAAATGATCATTCATTTCAGAATAACATCAAGGTGGGTTTTTTTTATCAGTTTTGTTTTGTTTTGTTTACTAGTATTTCAACAATTCAAATCATTTGAGTTCCAAACAATATTATGGAGAAAAAAAGTTAACAAAAAGAAATATTTATGCTAGAAATGCAAACAGTAATTGTAACATTAAGGAAAAGAAAAGTTACCAAATTTTTGACAATTTTTTTCCATATTTTTCAAACCTCATTAGTGAACTTAAATCTGACAATGAAAAGAAAATGAAAATGTAAAAAATATGCAATTTTATTTTAACCAACTTTAATTTGCTATGAGATAAAAATCCTCAATTATCAGGGAAGCCTTATTTTTGTGTCCTCCACTGACCTTGTTATCTGTACGTATGGTGACCTTCAGCTGGGGCTGGACACGCTCCACCTCTAGCTTCCAGTCGGCAGCATCTGTCGTTGATTCCAGAATATCATCTGGTTTGGTACTCTCATTAGCTTGCTGTTGAGATAAGTAGGTCAAAGGATAACCAATTATCCTGCCTTTGGCAGCAAAGTACAGATCTATTTTATAGCCCATAACCATTGGTATGCTATTACATAAACACTTATGTGGACTTTTGAGATGGTGAAATATGTGATGTGATTTGAAAATATAAAAGTTATCCTGACCGCGGAAAAGCTGAGATTATGTAATAATACAATGTAATATCATAGTCTATGCTTCAACAATGATATTTCAGAAAATTAACATTATTATTATTGGGTTGTTTTGATGCCACTGTCAATAGTTTATTACAGGTGTACAAAACATACGTCAGCTCAAGTCAGTAAAACAATCGTGCTGAACAATACCATACCTTATTGATGGTACAAGATAACCAAGTGTTTATCAAATCTGATTTACAGGAGTTTCTAAAATTCTGTCAGGTGTATAGAACCTAGCCAATTAGATTACAGGAAGTTATTAAGTATATAACAAACAACAATATATACAGTTATTTATAAGTTACACACCTACAGGTCTAGATATTTGTGTTCTGGTGAACTCCTCCCTCGTCATCTCTCTTACTATTCAAAAATTTGAAAGAATGCGGAATGAAATGAATATCCTGTAAACACAGGTAATGAATACCAACCTTACTCTGGCCGAGACGCTTCAGTCCTTCTAAATCCATGATCTGTTCTTCCTCCTCAAACTCATCTTCATCATCACCATGTTGCTATAAAAACATCAAATAGGAATATTTACACTACCTTACATGTTAATATAGTATAATACAATATGTACCTTATAAAAAAAAGTAGATTGCCTTAAAAGGAAATCTGTAAATTACCTTATAAGAAAATATGTACATTACCTTATAAGGAAATATGTACATTACCTTATAAGGAAATGTGTACATTTTCTACAAGTAGATGTTTTTATTTGTGTTTATATCACCTTATAGGTGAATACTTATACACTGTACATTAGTGTATAGTTGCAATTTACATTATTGAATACATTGTAGTTACAGATTTCCCTGTAACTATTTCCTAATAAATTTGGAATCATAATTTGTCTGTTCGTAACGCTGCTGGAGTATAAAATTATTAAACCAACAGATATGTGTATGAGTTAATAAACAACTGTAGTAAAATCTATTATTAATTTGAACATATATTTTCATTTAATGCATCAATTGAAATAGAAAATACAACTAAATTGAAGAGTGAATTATGCGTTATCAAGATGCAGCATCATTTAATTGGCTATATAAAACTATTTTAATGTAATGACATGTAAAATACAAAATTTCAACTAATCATTGTGGAAAGTTACAAAATATGTCTTATGATTGGAGTGCTGTAAGATATAAATAGTGAAAAAATTGTCAGTAAAAGAAGATTAACAAAAAATAAAGAAAAAGTGTAAAATCAGCTTTATATGTGGTCCTCCTATGTGTACACTATCTATGGCATTAACTTATGGTAGTATAATGTTAGTTTATTTCATTACTACAAACTGACATATTTCACTACGACACAAAAATGTCAACTGTCTGGTAACAGAGTGGAAAACAAATGGAGTGATTTCTTTGTTTAAATAGCAATGCTCTGTGACAGCTTTGTTCTCGTGTTTCTTTATTTTATTAGCAATGCTCTGTGACAGCTTTGTTCTCGTGTTTCTTTGTTTTATTAGCAATGCTCTGTGAAAGCTTTGTTCTTGTGTTTCTTTGTTTTATTAACAATGCTCTGTGACAGCTTTGTTCTTGTGTTTCTTTATTTTATTAGCAATGCTCTGTGACAGCTTTGTTCTTGTGTTTCTTTGTTTTATTAGCAATGCTCTGTGACAGCTTTGTTCTTGTGTTTCTTTGTTTTATTAACAATGCTCTGTGACAGCTTTGTTCTTGTGTTTCTTTGTTTTATTAGCAATGCTCTGTGACAGCTTTGCTCTGGTGTTTCTTTGTTTTATTAGCAATGCTCTGTGACAGCTTTGCTCTGGTGTTTCTTTGTTTAAATAGCAATGCTCTGTGACAGCTTTGCTCTGGTGTTTCTTTGTTTAAATAGCAATGCTCTGTGACAGCTTTGTTCTGGTGTTTCTTTGTTTTATTAGCAATGCTCTGTGACAGCTTTGTTCTTGTGTTTCTTTATTTTATTAGCAATGCTCTGTGACAGCTTTGTTCTTGTGTTTCTTTGTTTTATTAGCAATGCTCTGTGACAGCTTTGTTCTTGTGTTTCTTTGTTTTATTAGCAATGCTCTGTGACAGCTTTGTTCTTGTGTTTCTTTGTTTTATTAGCAATGCTCTGTGACAGCTTTGTTCTTGTGTTTCTTTGTTTTATTAGCAATGCTCTGTGACAGCTTTGTTCTTGTGTTTCTTTGTTTTATTAGCAATGCTCTGTGACAGCTTTGTTCTTGTGTTTCTTTGTTTTATTAGCAATGCTCTGTGACAGCTTTGTTCTTGTGTTTCTTTGTTTTATTAGCAATGCTCTGTGACAGCTTTGTTCTTGTGTTTCTTTGTTTTATTAGCAATGCTCTGTGACAGCTTTGCTCTGGTGTTTCTTTGTTTTATTAGCAATGCTCTGTGACAGCTTTGCTCTGGTGTTTCTTTGTTTAAATAGCAATGCTCTGTGACAGCTTTGCTCTGGTGTTTCTTTGTTTTATTAGCAATGCTCTGTGACAGCTTTGCTCTGGTGTTTCTTTGTTTAAATAGCAATGCTCTGTGACAGCTTTGCTCTGGTGTTTCTTTGTTTTATTAGCAATGCTCTGTGACAGCTTTGCTCTGGTGTTTCTTTGTTTTATTAGCAATGCTCTGTGACAGCTTTGCTCTGGTGTTTCTTTGTTTAAATAGCAATGCTCTGTGACAGCTTTGCTCTGGTGTTTCTTTGTTTTATTAGCAATGCTCTGTGACAGCTTTGCTCTGGTGTTTCTTTGTTTAAATAGCAATGCTCTGTGACAGCTTTGCTCTGGTGTTTCTTTGTTTAAACAGCAATGCTCTGTGACAGCTTTGTTCTCGTGTTTCTTTGTTTTATCAGCAATGCTCTGTGACAGCTTTGTTCTCGTGTTTCTTTGTTTTATCAGCAATGCTCTGTGACAGCTTTGTTCTCGTGTTTCTTTGTTTTATCAGCAATGCTCTGTGACAGCTTTGTTCTCGTGTTTCTTTGTTTTATCAGCAATGCTCTGTGACAGCTTTGTTCTCGTGTTTCTTTGTTTTATCAGCAATGCTCTGTGACAGCTTTGTTCTCGTGTTTCTTTGTTTTATCAGCAATGCTCTGTGACAGCTTTGCCCTGGTGCTGTTTTTGTATAATGTAATGTTTGTCATATTGTGCTACCACCATCATTTTATAAAAAGTGTGAAATTAGCTAACGATATCTGTGTGGACATTTATTGCACTGACTACTGGTATAATACTGTTACATGTAGTTTACTTCTGAAACTAAAACCTACCATAATTTTATAACAGAAAAATGTTAACTGTCAGGTAAAACTGGAGAAAGTAATCTCATTATATTATGTATTGAGTGGATTTGAATTGTGTATATCTTTTTTTTTTAATTACCCCATAGAAACATGGATTTGGATTTAGTTAATTGTATACAAAATGTCCTGACAACAAATATCCCTCAAAATCCCTTGCTATTTATACAGCTGGGTAGCTGGAGCAATGCTCTCTGATAGATTTGCTCTTGTACTGTATCATATAATGTTTTAGTTGTAAAATTGTGCTACCATCACCAAAAGTCCAACAGTGCCCTTAGACAATGTATCCAATACCCAGATTTATTTTCATTAATTTGTACAACAATTTCTTTTTAAAAGCATGTCATGAAAGTAAATAGACACCTGCTTTTGATTGATACTGATGTAGTATATGTAGTGAGTACGATAAAAATAGCAACATATATACAATGTATATAAGATAGACAGGGAATTTATTAAGTATCTAAATCTATTTATAAAATTAACATCAAAAATCAAAAGAGCTAAAAACAAATCTACAAAATTACATAACTGAAGAAAACTATTAGTCAAAAGTATTATTTTCTTATCGAAATTTCTAAACTGATAAAAATGTCATTGGAGAAAAAGAAAGAAATATAAATGTACAACAGGAGAGATAATGATATTCTAATTATATTAGACAAATATCTACATGTTACAGCCATACTAAATATTACACATACAGTATAGTAGATACAATGACTTGACTACCATCCATCCCATATCTTGAATATTAACTCATGGTATCAGGCTGTTTTGGTTATAAGATACTGGAGTATATTAATAACTAGAAAATGTCTGTGAGACATAAATGCCCCCGCTGCCATGTGAAAGTAGTTTCAGTGTTTTATAAAAAGGTACAACCACTTTGATCTTGATACCCTGAAACATGCACACACACAAAGTACTACACTTAAAGTTGATAAGTTGATTTTAAAATTCATGTTTTTTTGTATGTTATTACCATCCTGAAACACAAGAATGTCCGAGGTATACCCATACTTGACCTTTAAATAAAGTTTGACCAAAATTGGTGAAAGAATGAAGTTGCTAAGTGTTTGAATTGAATCAGTTGGTGATTTTCTGTATGTAGCAACAGTGACCTTGGCCTTGACCTTGGAACCGTGAAACACAACAATGTCTCATACTTGACCTTTGTATAAAGTTTGACAGAATGAAGTTACTAAGTGTTTACATTGAATCAGGATGGGACGCAACGGACATGGGCAACACTATATGCCCCCCCCCCCCATTTTATGGAGGGGTTGTACCTTTGTATAAAGTTTGACCAAAATCTGTCAAATAATGAAGTTGCTAAGTGTTTACATTGAATCGGGACGGGACGCGACACGACGGACATGGGCAACACTACATGTATATGCCCCTCCATTTTATGGCGGGGGCATAAAAATAACACATTATAACAGCTTTCCTAGGCCTTCTATATAACATTCTCCTGCTTTCCTAGACCTGCTATATAATATCCTCCTGCCTACCTAGGCCTGCTATATAATATCCTCCTGCCTACCTAAGCCTGCTATAAAATATTCTCCTGCTTTCCTAGACCTGCTATATAATATCCTCCTGCCTACCTAGGCCTGCTATATACCATTTTCCTGCTTTCCTAGGCCTGCTATATAATATCCTCCTGCCTACCCAGGCCTGCAATATAACATTCTCCTGCTTTCCTAGGCCTGCTATATAACATTTTCCTGCTTTCCTAGGCCTGCTATATAACATTCTCCTACCTACCTAGGCCTGCTATATAACATTCTCCTACCTACCTAGGCCTGCTATACAACATTCTCCTGCCTACCTAGGCCTGCTATATAACATGCTCCTGCCTACCTATGCCTGCTATATAACATTCTCCTGCCTACCTATGCCTGCTATATAACATTCTCCTGCCTACCTATGCCTGCTATATAACATTCTCCTGCCTACCTATGCCTGCTATATAACATTCTCCTGCCTACCTAGGCCTGCTATATAATATCCCCCTGCTTTCCTAAGCCTGCTATATAACATTCTCCTGCCTACCTAGGCCTGCTATATAATATCCTCCTGCCTACCCAGGCCTGCAATATAACATTCTCCTGCTTTCCTAGGCCTGCTATATAACATTTTCCTGATTTCCTAGGCCTGCTATATAATATCCTCCTGTCTACCTAGGCCTGCTATATAACATTCTCCTGCTTTCCTAGGCCTGCTATATAATATTTTCCTGCTTTCCTAGGCCTGCTATACAATATCTTCCTGCTTTCCTAGGCCTGGTTTATAACATTCTCCTGCTTGCCTAGGCCTGCTATATAATATCCTCCTGCTTTCCTAGGCCTGCGATATAATATCCTCCTGCCTACCTAGGCCTGCTATATACCATTTTCCTGCTTTCCTAGGCCTGCTATATAATATCCACCTGCTTTCCTAGGCCTGCTATATAACATTCTCCTGCTTTCCTAGGCTTGCTATATAATATCCCCCTGCTTGCCTAGGCCTGCTATATAATATCCCCCTGCTTTCATAGGCCTGCTATATAACATTCTCCTGCTTTCCTAGGCCTGCTATATAACATTCTCCTGCTTTCCTAGGCCTGCTATATAACATTCTCCTGCCTACCTAAGCCTGCTATATAACATTCTCCTGCCTACCTAAGCCTGCTATATAACATTTTCCTGCTTTCCTAGGCCTGGTATATAACATTCTCCTGCCTACCTAGGCCTGCTATATAACATTTTCCTGCTTTCCTACGCCTGCTATATAACATTCTCCTGCCAACCTAGGCCTGCTATATAACATTCTCCTGCTTTCCTAGGCTTGCTATATAATATCCCCCTGCTTGCCTAGGCCTGCTATATAATATCCCCCTGCTTTCCTAAGCCTGCTATATAACATTCTCCTGCCTACCTAGGCCTGCTATATAACATCCTCCTGCCTACCTAAGCCTGCTATATAACATTTTCCTGCTTTCCTACGCCTGCTATATAACATTCTCCTGCCAACCTAGGCCTGCTATATAACATTCTCCTGCTTTCCTAGGCCTGCTATATAATATTCTCCTGCCTACCTAGGCCTGCTATATAATATCCCCCTGCTTTCATAGGCCTGCTATATAACATTCTCCTGCTTTCCTAGGCCTGCTATATAACATTCTCCTACCTACCTAGGCCTGCTATATAACATTTTCCTGCTTTCCTACGCCTGCTATATAACATTCTCCTGCCAACCTAGGCCTGCTATATAACATTCTCCTGCTTTCCTAGGCCTGCTATATAACATTCTCCTACCTACCTAGGCCTGCTATACAACATTCTCCTGCCTACCTAGGCCTGCTATATAATATCCTCCTGCCTACCCAGGCCTGCAATATAACATTCTCCTGCTTTCCTAGGCCTGCTATATAACATTTTCCTGATTTCCTAGGCCTGCTATATAATATCCTCCTGCTTTCCTAGGCCTGCGATATAATATCCTCCTGCCTACCTAGGCCTGCTATATAACATTCTCCTGTCTACCTAGGCCTGCTATATAACATTCTCCTGCTTTCCTAGGCCTGCTATATAATATTCTCCTGCTTTCCTAGGCCTGCTATATAATATTTTCCTGCTTTCCTAGGCCTGCTATACAATATCCTCCTGCTTTCCTAGGCCTGGTTTATAACATTCTCCTGCTTGCCTAGGCCTGCTATATAATATCCTCCTGCTTTCCTAGGCAGGCTATCAAGAGCTAACTAAAATGCCCCCTTATTTTAATGTGACAGAAATGACCATGCAATCCAGGTGAGGAGTGGGCAGAGCTTGTATTCGATTTGAACCCCTCAGGATTATACATTTTTGTTTCTATCAAGAAATTAATGGCAATTACAGTTAAAGAGTAGACGCACCCTGAAAATGATTTTCAAAAAAGTCTGAGCAATTAAGATTTGCATCAATGGGCATAGTAAACAAGGTTATTAGTATGGAATTTAAGGTTAAAGCATTTCGAGCTCCATAGGATCAGGTCTAATTTACTGCTCAAGTCGAACGCTATATCTATAACAACAGCCTGTTATAATGAGGTAACTTTCATCAGTTACCTCCCTTTAAAATATCTACAACACTTTACTTCTATTTCAATCTAGAGGAAACAACCAATTGGTATGGTTTGTGAATTTGGTTAACATACAGCAGTATTAACTCATTATAAATATCATAGAATTAATTTGATTTGATTTGAAAAAACTACAGGAGGGACAATAGTTGTTAACTGTGATTATATACCCACCGACTGCTGCATATACTGGAAAGTGTTAAATCAAACGTAAACAAACATCTCATTGGTCAATACTACTGTGATCATATGTAAACAAATATCTCATTGGTCAATGATACTGAGATCATATCTAAACAAACATCTCATTGGCCAACGATACTGAGATCATATCTAAACAAATATCTCATTGACCAACAATACTGAGATCATATTTTAACAAACATCTCGTTGGCCAATGACACTGAGATCATATTTTAACAAACATCTCATTGGCCAACAATACTGAGATCATATCTAAACAAATATCTCATTGACCAACAATACTGAGATCATATGTAAACAAACATCACGTTGGCCAATGACACTGAGATCATATGTAAACAAACATCTCATTGGCCAATGATACTCTGATTAGATGTTAACAAACATTTAATTGGCCAACCAATCAATGTGATAACGACAAAGCATTAGAACAGCTTATAAACAAACTGGTACATGTAATGACCACCATGTCACAAAGAAATTACTGTTGGTGTCTTCAATTATGTTTATGAATAATAAGGACAATGGTTGACTAGAACTGTAAGACATAAGCTTAAGTAATACACTCTATCTCCGAAAAGTTTTTAAATATAATTTTGTGTAAAAAGTTGTATCATTCTTTTTGGAGAAAAAAACCCTGATCTAATTAAAGCCCCTGGTCCCCATGAAAATGGTCCAAATCAAAAATAATATTGCAACGTTTGAAACTTCATTGAGTGATCAAACAAGTTAAAAATATTACATAATTACAATTTTAGAATTTTTGTAAGATATTTCATAACAAAATATGTTTCCACCACAGAATATTGCTACATTGTAAGTTTCTCTGCAGTACAACTGTGGACATAGACATTACAATTTTGAGTCGTAATTCAACACAGCAAACTTGCACCAACACAAAATTAAGAATAAGCCAAAAAATGTGTTAAGAGAACTTTTGATAACTTATTTCTACCATTTTATAGGAAGCTTCAAACACCATCAGTGTATAGTCACCCAAACTGCTTACAGTGTTGAGCCCAGGCCCTGTATTCATGAAATCGTTCTCATTTTCAAGCATAAATTTTGAGCTCCAGACTAATTTCTTGTTCTGGTTATAGATTAATAAAAAAAGTTATTCTGTAGATTTGGAAAAACATTAAAGAGACTTCCAGCCGAATACTGTTTTCGATGTTTACGTTTGACTTTTTGATCTTTTGACATGATTTAAGTGAGCTACAAGAAAGCTGGTTTGAGCACAGAATCCATGCTTGAGCATGAGAACGGTTTCCTTAATACAGGCCCAGGTTTCTGTCGACAGCTGTACATACCTGAAAGAAGTTTTTCTCCACTTCTCCTAGAGTCAGCTCAGCATCATCTTCTATCACTGTCTCCTCCTCCGTCTCCTCTGTAGGGTACTCTGGTCTATAGAAACCTCATATTACTTATTGACAGCTCAAGATAGAGTTTAGTTCAATGCTTCGGTCCATAACAGGCTATTTATGCAGACTTAAACTTTCACGTTTTTGACCCAAAATAAGAAAAATAGATTTACACAGTTTATAATTTTGCGATCTAGACATGTGAAGGAACTAATTTTTGCAGTGTTTAATTAAGCCCAGAGGCGGAACACTGTCAAAATAGTCCAATGGATACACTTTATTACAATATACTGAGCAACAACAAGTGTGTGCTCTAATATCATGTGAATCATCAACAAAACTATTATATGTGTGATATCATTATGGTTGCTGCCAAATTAAGCATTCCTTTAGAAGCAGTAGCCTACTGTTAATCCTGAAGTAACACCCCCCCCCCCCNACCTACATTACAGTGGTCATAGTAATTGAAAAGCACCCACTCACTTTTCCCAGGAGAAATTTGTAGACTTGAGGGCCTCGTCTGCAAGTCTGGTGAGGACATAAATTGCATGCTCTCCACAGCCCTGCTTAAGTTTGGACGGTGGAAAGTCTATCTGGTGTCCCTGTAAATGAAGTTAATAAGAAATATTCATGAAGAATGACAACGAAAAGCAAACTGATGCTGTATTAGCCTTAGTTTGTTATGTGCACAACTACCTGAGGAAGTAATCAAGTATACAAAACTGTCCCTAGATATGGTCTAGTAACAAACACAGAGACAAATACTGTTTATGGACGAACATATCAGCAGATTCCAGTATAGCCCCTAGCTATATCTTTGTCACTTAAATATTGTACTATTATTTCTAAATACATATAAACATTAATATCAAAGTTTTACTTTATGCACAAACAATGTATTTATTAACAAGCCATTCGGATTGATATGTCTCGCCTATGCCCCACTTTGAATTGACCATCAATGCACATATCAAAGAAACTAACTTAAACACAAAAACTCAATGTTGATGTTGATGCTATCAAAGTCAATGGACCATGAAAGGTAGGCCACATCCAGCATTTGATGCATGGGTTGAGATATACTACCTAGGATGCATCTATGGTCCAAGTTTGGACTTGGTTCTGTCGCCGTAAAAGCAACACCTATGTCTCGCTTCCACTTCGTGGCGGCGGGAAAAAATTGTTTGTGTATAAAGTAAAACTTTCTAACAACATATTTCCAAACTGAGGATATTAGCATAAAAACATTATAATTTTCAAATACACTTTTAACAGGACTAGTTCATGTAATCTGTAGAATATTTTGGTGATCTTAGAATTCTCTGTTGAAATACAATTGTTGTTTAAAACCAATCAATACTTACCAGTTTTCTGACTTCCTCCAATATACTTGATATCGTGGCATTGGGATCATCGTACTGTAGACATAAACCAGTACACTCGCAATGGTATTCAACAAAGCAATTTTATAAATAAAACTTCACATGTTTTTAATCTCATCTTCTTTTCAGGCAATGAGTTCATAACTATTTATTTGTTCTGTAGTCATTCATCATGAACAATAGGAATTATACAGGAGTGGATGTGTCGCCTGCTCGGCGCTTTTAGTGAGAAAACTGTTTTGGCTTGAGTTATCGCGTAAACAAGTAACGGCAAAAACGATGAACATCGTTGCTATGTCAAGTGTGATATGCAAAAATGCAGAGTTGAAACTTGACAGAAAAACGTGTAATATATGCTAAACATTATTGCTTCTTTCATTACCATACAGAAGTTGAAAGGAATTGATTAAAAACTTAAAATAAGTTATTCCATTTACTACGTATACACACTGCCCTTATTTGGCATTTCGCATTCTAAAATGCGAACTCATCTGAGCTATATTAGTGTGCAATATGTGTACCAAGTTTGAGTTCAATCAACCCAAAGGAACTCTAGCTATCGCACAGAAACCTTGTTTCGGACGACGTATGGCGACGCCACAGAAAAAGTAATATCTATGTCGCCTCGCTTTGCAGGCAACACAAAAATCAGGAGCTTACGAATATTGATCTCACTTAATCTGGAACTGTTATGAAAAATGCAGATACATTTTAGAAATTGAAGAATTAAGGTGGCTCCACACTTTCGCAATTAACCAGCAAAATTCGTNGGTTAAATCTTGTATTAAATAACCAATAAATGTTTCATCTGCCATTTGTATACAACTCTTTTTACATCTTACACATATGTTGTACTGTAAATACTTACATTTCATTACAATACATTTGTATAACAAGAACAATTTTTGTTCTGTTCATAATTTGCAATACATGCATGAATTTATGTCCTTGTGAAATAAGCAGAATTGTGAAGTTATGGAATTAAGTGTGCATGAACTATATGTAAAATAAATGTATGAATTCTTTTTGAAATCTACAGTAAATCACACAACTTCACTAAAGCTTTTAAACATATAAAACATCAACAAGGGCTACAAGCAATACAAAATTAAAATTTCTTAAATTAACCTCATTTAGAAAGCTCTGATCACAAAATATTTCATTTTAATCAAATTTGTATATTGTTGCAGTGATTGAGATTAAAGAGTTGCTGCTTAAAATTAGATAAAGTTGTAAGAAAAAGGCTAAGCCAATGATATTATTTCAATTATTCATTCTTTTAAATGAATTCTTTTATCAGACTGATAAAAATATAAGTCTAAATGCTGATGGAAATGGTAGTGGGGCATTTCATTAATCTACTATCAGTCTGTACATACTTCCTGTGGTTGTTCAAAACTCTTGCCAGCCTTCCTCAGCAGCCAAGCCGACAGTGAGGTAAACATGAAGAACTGTTCCCCTGGGTTTGTTGGTATGGCGAAGTAATGTCTGAAATTATTGTACAGTAAATCAGTGTATATCTATAATATAATGCATTGATCAATGAGCACATTTCAGAAGAAAATAAGTGAGCACTTTTAATTTGAAATGTCATCCTGTCACCATCCCATTCCCTTGATGATTTAAACTTTTATCACAAAATTAAGTTCCCTTCGCCCGAAGAGGTGCTCTATGATAAATATTTTGGAGATAAACACATTTATTCTGCAGGCACATGTAACCATCAAAATAAAACAACTTCAAGTCAACTGTGGTTGTATCAGTTGAAATTATAGACAATCCATTACAGAATGTTTAAATAATCATTGATATTAAAGTTACTTAATGAGGTTTGGTTTGGTTTGGTTTGATTTTGTTTAACAGTCATTTAAGGACGTAAGTTAATGAGGCTTCACTTATGATCAATTGTGATGTTATAATAACTCAGAATTATAAAAATGTAACTATTTTGACATCCGATACAAAATTAAAATAAATGTATCCTTTTTTCTTTTTTAATATACAAATACCATCTTCTACCACATGTCACTATAGTTTTTTACGAAGATTATGGAATATTTATTGATTAAGGTAGACATAGTTTCTTAATAATAATATGTATTATAACCTCCTGCATCATTTTGAAACAGACCAAATTGTTATTAGGTGTGAAAATAGACATGTATGCTAGGCGAGAATAAACCAATTTTGGCATCGCCATATATTCTAATAAATATGTAGAAAATTGACAATGACCCAAAGTGATAGAGCACACTGTTAATTCATCATGTTGTACCTTGATATTGGTTTCATATTAAGTACACGGGAAAACTCCTTCTCATAATTCAGTAATCTGAGTTTGTCTAGGAATTCTTCCATGACGACAAATGGCATGTAGACAAGACCAGGCCCGCCATCTTCTACTTCTTCCCCTCTTCGCTTGTCTTCCGACATCTTGACTCTCCGCAGTAGCACTACCTAGGCTCTGCAAAAATAAACAATGGCCCGACACAGACGGCTGATCAACAGAAAATTATTTGTTTCCCCTGAACATCTTCCCTATCACAAACATGGACCAATTATCCAAATAAATGGATCAATGGGTTGGGGAAGACAGTGCAAGCCTTTTCCCCACTTGAATTCAACATTATACACAAGTGACAATATTTTTGGGGAGTGGGATTCAACTTTATCTGTTGTTGCTAGGGGAGATAATAAAACAAGAATACTAATACCTATAATGCAGTTTAAAATTGCATCGCTTTTCCATGTGTACATCCCTTTCAAAAGCTAGGCAAGGCTAAGAAAGGTGTTGTTCAAATTGATAAGGAAATCAATTTGATGAATATTCTTTGACTGTTTTTGTTTTAATATGACACAAATACGAACCAGACAAGTTAAATGGCGGTGAAATGAATAGGGGCATCGGAGTGCTGTAAGCTAGCATGTTTCAACGTCAGCTTGCAGCAGACCTTGGTGTGTCTCAAAGTGGGGTGGCAAGAATGTGGAATCTTTCCCTAACTAACGGAAACCATCCAGACGTCATGCTGGAGGATGTTCTAGGGCTACAACGCAGCTACCTTCGTGATTTTAAGGGTAACCCTTTTCCTGTGGCTCATTTTCCAACTGTAATTACAGTTTTTGGATTTTTTTCATGCTGATTAATTAAAAGAACAATCAATTTTTCAAAAATAATCACAGTATAAACCAAATAAAATATTTATTTTTTTGCCCAAAAAAGAAAGTGATCCTTAGCGAAATGTGAATAGCATATATGTTTATCAATATTGTGTTGGGTATCCACAGCTCTGATATGGAATAAAATTGATAGAACTAAAACATTTCATCAGTCTTTGGCTCTCGAGCCACGTCCATCATGATCCTAAATAAATTACCAGTAGTCAACATTTAGTAAAACATGTTACATAAACAATTATACTTACATTTTTAACTAGTTAAATAGAAAACACTGAAGTACAGTGTATATGTTTAAATGTTGAATCAGTTATGTTTGAATAGTTAAAATTTAGTGTACAGGGGATCAGGTTGTTGTGACCTAAATATGTTGTAGTGCAAAACTTTTTCTTGTCTGTTTGGTGGTATGAGACCTTCACAATGAGTCACTTCATATAGTTCATATAGCGATGACGACGATTGACAGCTGTGAGCTTCTTGTGGCGCGTTTGAATATATGTTCAAGTCACCTTTAGTCATATCATTATACTCCCATCTACATTCTCACTGGTAACGGGTTGTTTCGCCCTAAATCCTGTTCGCCCTAAATGTTTTTTAAAAAATTGATATGCTTATATAATAATTGATATTCAAATGTATTTTTATTTATTTGACAGCAGAGTCAGCTTTTCACAGCCGTCGTTTGTCACACTCACTTATAAGACAAACACATTTTTTCTATGAAATTGATTTTAATGATATGGAAGACTAAGAAGACTTGATTTGTGACTAAAAACTACTAAAATTGAAAGAAAATACCATACAATAATTCACCCTAATATTTTTGTTTTAGGGCGAAACAACCTAACACGAAACAACCTAAGGCGAACAGGATTTCGGGCAAAACAACCCCGAACCCTCTACAGTATACAGCATACTCTAGGTCAGTTATTCGGTAACACAATTGTTTGTGAAATCACAGATAATGTAATTGCGAGGTGAAACATAAAAACAGTATTTTTTAATCGCTGACAATTTAACATCTCATGATGCTCTAATGCATTAGGGCGAAACAACCCTTGGCAAACACAACTGGCATGAAACAAAATAAAGTATTTAGGGCAAAATCATAAGTACTGGCCTGGTCTGTCAAAACACCTAAACTGTGAGTCAATAGGGTATAGGGTGTAGTGACAGACGAGGAGGCTAGTACAGCAGTACATTGTAAAATATCAATCACGTATTATGCAGAATTCAAAATCCGACGATGTCAAAGGTAAGCAAAAGCTACGCTCTTGACAGGATTTGACTTTTCAGTAGTAATGGACAACCCCCTCCGCATTAAAGCAATATTGGTATCTGTGGAGTATAACATAAAGATAGATAGATAGTAAAATTGGCACGGTAACCGTGCAGTTTAGATTCGGCCCTCAAGGAAAACTAAACTGCAATAAACACAATTTCCTCTGGGAAAGCAGAACAGCAATAAACATTATTTATTTAAACTGAAATTCTTAATGTTAATCAATGACTTCTTAAACATGTCGATCTGTAACATTACAACACTTAATCGGTGTTATTTACCTGCTGTCACAAGTTTGCCTTGGTTTTCGTTTGGAAAGAATTTCATCGACGTAGTTTTACGCTTGAGCAATAGTGCCCTTTTTCCGTTTTTACAAAACATTTGCATGATGTCGAGTTTAACCCATATTCACCACATGCGCCTTAACTTCAACCACTTGACTTCCGTTAGAAGCATTTTATCTCCAGTTTAAGCCTTTATAACTAACAGCAGAGTCTTTGATTTAAAATTTATTTATAACTACAACAATAAAGATCACATGGTCATAACTAACGAGTTTATTTGTAATTTTCAAAAACATTGCCGAGCTGGTTGCAGACGAATTTTTCTAGTAGCCTCATTCTGAGGTTGCCATCAACAAGCAACATGGCGTCGAAAGGCAAAGGAGATCCGAATTTGGATGAATTCTTAAGCAAAGTTGATCAAATTGGTAAGAATGTTGTGCACGTACCACACCAAAAGAGGTCGAACATAGAGAACCGACTGCTCTTCGCTGAAAGGGCGAATTTTAAAATCTTTCCGGGAAATAATAGGATGCTAGCTCCAAATGATCCTATGGCATTTGACACTTCAGATCTAGATAACAGCTTAGAACGTGTTTACTCATGATCTGCTCCGTTATAACAGTTTATGTTGAAATTATCTTGTGGAAGTGTCTACAAGTGGCCATATAAATACTCCATTCTGATATTAAATGTTTTGTTTTCTCCAGGTTGAGAGTATCTATTGACATTAAGGTCTATTTCCATAGATCATCCACAGGCTACGTCCAATAATAAGCTATCTTCACAGCTTGGTAGTTTTTATAGGACTTCAGGCCCATTGAATCTCGTGATCCCCAAAGACTGTAACAATGAATTCTTCTTCTTTAGGGTGCTGGGCTCCATCTATAATGATGATTATGCCCTCGGGGGTCCTATCACAGAGACGTGAAAAAAAGGGTTATTTACGGTGATTAGTTGGGGGGGTTGTTGTTCAATTAAGGTATAGAAAAAAGGTAAAAGCGGGCGTATGGCGTAATTGGAAACTATATTTTACCAATATGACTCTAGATTTAGTTAACAATTTCTAAACAGAAAACCATGCTTTGCGAAAAATTTATGAAAAGTAAATCAGCAGCAGGATTTTAAGAGTAAACCTGTAACAGGACTAGGCTGGAAAAAAATCTGATCATCAGCAGCTCTCTGGCTAAGTCCCAAAAAAGTGAGAGGAGGTTACCGTACATGAAAAACCTCTTTAGTAAAGTTTACAATGAATTCTCTATTATTTTGTCAGCGTTGTCACTAAGTTTTGAAACGTGTAGTTGACTTAAAATGAATAGCAGATTGGTTTTTACACACTAAATAATGTTTGACCTAGGTATATGTATTTTGAAAAAATATATTGATCAATGCAGGCAACCAGCTTTTAATGAGAATACTGATTAATTCTTCTGCAGTGGGACAGCTGGGATCCTAATTGATTTGATTATCTGAGTATGATGCTTGTTGATTATCTGAGTATGATGCTTGCATGTTGATTATCTGAGTATGATGCTTGTTGATAATCTGAGTATGATGCTTGTTTAAGATGAATTTTAATGTTCAATAGGTTTTTCAATGCAATCAGTTTACACAATCTAGGTTAATGAAAAACATAAATTGAAAATCTCGCCTTTAACCAAAACAGTATCAAGTTTGATGGCACCCTGCCTCCAGCACACATACACACATGCACGCATATATATATATATATTATATATATATATACAATGTATAACACAAACTGAGCCACGTGCTTAAATGACTTAAGCTGTTAATAGGACGTTAAACAAAAACAAAAAATTGTTTGACTGCCTGATAGGAAGTGGAAAGACTATATGGGTTTCCTTCGGGTTTCTATTAAAATTATGATTAGACTTTGCCTGCTACCTTCCAGGCCATGGAGAATTAAATGATTAATATAAGTTGATATATATATATATATAGGACTTGTTTTATGATTGGTGTAAAATATATAAAGTTTATATATATACACATATTTATAGTACCAGCCCTCGGGTTGATTTTGATTCACTTCACTTTCCTGACCTAAATTTCATTGTAAATATTGAAAGATAAAAACCTTCTCGCTCCAACAAAACATCTACTAGCCCGGGGCATGAGGCTAGCTACATACCTGCTATATCATGTAGCCTTGTGCTACAGGGCCACCACTGGTTTTGTTTGTAAACTACATGCGTTATTTATTCATTCTAGAATCCATTGTTAAGACCCTGAAGTATGGAGACGACACTCAGGTCAAGACAGCGATGCAGGAGGCTGATCACATGCTGGCACACGCCAAATCAAACAAGGGCCATTTTCCTGAAGACTTCGGACCTGTCGAACCTGGGGACGAGGACCTTCCCAAAACAAAGACTGGTCAGTCACATGAAGTTATTATCTTTTTATAATAAAACATGATCTATTGCGAAAAACTAACACCAAATACTGAAAAAGCTGAGTAACAATCTCTTTTGTTAGATAAAACTATGATTGTGACCTGTTGTGTTAGGGTTAGCATTACGGACACACAGTAAACAAAACAAAAAATGTATTAATTTTGTCTACTTTAATCATATTGCAACGTTTGCGTGTAAATCTTTTTCTCCCCATTTATGTTTTGTGGTAGGTAATCGTTTCATGTGCATGTTTTGATAAATTAATGGGATTGTCTTTATTGTCGCGATTACGTCCCTGTTTATATATGTACTGATACTAATTTGACTATGTGAATACTTGTAATTGCATTCAGTATAAAATTATCAAGTAAATAAATAAATAACTTTCAACAGAATAATTGCATGGTCACTGGTTTAATGTAATTTTGTACATGTATGAAGCAGAATTTATAGCTGCAGTTTAAAAATGCTGTGTTAATTTGTGCCATATTGTTCATTTAGTCATCCTCGTTATCCAGTAGTTATGTTCACTTTCGCTCTCTGCACCCCTGGAATATGTCAGCAAAATTGAAGGCTCGGTGTTTGCCACCTTGTTGATGAGACAAGAAGACTAGTTCGATCCTTTGATGTACATCAAAAGAATTCCGCGGTCACCTAACGGTAAAAATTGACAGCCTTTAAAGTCGGGCATCTCTCCTTTATAATCTTCAAAGGACAAGTAACAGCCTAGTGATTGGTCAGTTGTTTTTTTTACCTGAGACCAATCAAACAGCTATTTTTGTGCCTTCAATTTTGCTATGACATATTCCAGGGGTGTAGAGAGTGAAGGTGAGCGTAGCCCCTGGATATCGAGGATGTCATTTAGTAAGTGTTGTAATCTTTCACTGAATGAGCATGTTTTATCTGGTTTAACCAATTCTTTTTTCCTCAAGGCTTCAGTAAGACAATGATCAATTCAGCCCCAACTCCAGACAAACCGGGTGATGATGATCCACAGTACGACAACGCAAGCCAAGGTATGTACCTAACAGTGACTACAGACTGAGAAAGATTAACTCATTCACCCCTGCAATTTCATTTGAACTATTCCAACCTTTGTATTGGGAGAGCTCAAATGTGTCCTCAGGGGTGAATAAGTGAAAGTGTTGATTTTGCTTACTGCTGTCAAAAACATTAGGGTATACATGTACATAGGTAGCTTGGTAAGGAAACCAAACTTCCACAAGGTTAAGTCATTGACCCCTGAAATTTCATAATGAACCATTCTAACCTTTGAATTGGAAGAGTTCAAATGCGTCTCCAGGGGTGAATGAGTTAAAGATGATTCTTTAGCTAATTATTTAGATGTCTAATTGGAGTTGTCCTAAATTTTGTCCTGCCATAGGGCATCTCCAAAAAATTATAAAGTTCCCATCAAAAAAAAAAAATTATGGTTTCAAAGATCTATACCCATGGTATAGTGTAAGACCCTCACTTCTAAGCCCTTGTTTAACCTTTTAGAGTGCTAAGTTTGATGGTATAGTGTAAGAGCCTCCCTTCTAAGCCCTTGACTGGCTTGTTGGGTTGTCTTGGTTCAAACAGATGACAAGAAGACAAACAAAGCTTACTGTATGTTTATTGTGGTTTTATAGTTTTTTTGCTAGGTAAATTATAAAGACAGACCAAACTCTGTTTTACATGTTCTATTGATTCATAGGAGAATTTGATCCTTAAAAACATTGAAATACACACAGAGAAATACAAGTTAAACATTCGCAGACGCCTTGTCCGAGTCAACATAACACAGACACCTTGTCCGAGTCAACATAACACAGACACCTTGTCCAAGTCAACATAACACAGACACCTTGTCCGAGTCAACATAACAGACACCTTATCCGATTCAACATAACACAGACACCTTGTCCGAGTCAACATAATACATCTGGCTAAAAATAGACTGTAAACATTGGTATGAAAGACTTAATTACACAAACTTCAAAGACATAACTAGAAAACTAAAAAGGCTGTCAATATTAAATAATATGAATCATATACCTGAGTGGTTAATAATGAAACCGTGTTTTATAAACAATTAACTAAGTGGTTCTGAAGAGAGCTGTAGCCTATAAGCCAAACACTTATCCAAATGCTGTATAATGGTGGAACAGACTGTCACTGTAGAGTTTACTTTTACAGATTCCTTCATGGTTTCTATGGAAGCAGATGCACATGAGAGAGCAGAAAGACGGAAAAAAAGACAGAAGGAAGCAAACATCATAAAGGAGAAAGGAAATGAGGAGTTCAGACAAGGGAACTATGAGAAAGCATTGGAGTTCTATTCAGAGGTATAATTGACTTTAAAAAAAATAATAAGTACTTGTTATTCAATTTAAAAAGAGGCACCTGTGATCTCAATTATAATCAGTGCTATCTTCAGTGTTCACTTCAACACTACTACAATATTGAAATGAAGAACAAGAAAGACAATGTCAGGGACATATTTCGGTTTGTGTATCACATTCCTATATATAGTAGTCATTGTTATTGCCTCATTGGGATCCAGCATTTAAAAGTCTAATGGAAACACTGATCTTCATTTTCACTTAAAATACACACTTAATTCTGTTACTTCATAATAGAATGAGTCTTTATTGTCACATCAAAACATGCAAAATTTGTAATATTCTCATTGCTTCAAAACAGGCACAAACTTTGTCCTCACTTCAAAACAAGTACAAAGTTTGTTCTCACTTCAAAACAGGTACTAACTCTGTCCTCACCTCAAAGCAGGCACAATCTGTTTCCTTGTTTCAAAACAGGCACAATCTTTGTCCTTGTTTCAAAACAGGCGCAAACTTTGTCCGTGCTTCAAAACAGGCAAATATTTGTGCTTGCTTTAAAACAGACACCATTTTTGTCCTTGCTTTAAAACAGGCACAAACTTTGTCCATGCTTCAAAGGAGGCAAAATTGTTTTGCTGGCTTCAAAACAGACACAAACTTTGTCCTTGCTTCAAAAGAGACACACATTCTGTCCTTGCTTCAAACAGGCAAAATCTTTGTCCTTGCTTCAAAATAAACACAATCTTTGTGTTGCTTCAAAAAATAATCCCTTGAATCAATGGTGTCTCTTACAGTTTTCATTCTGGTGTTATAGTAAGTATATACTATTCTCTCCTTTGCAGGCTTTACAGAAAGTAAAAGACAACACAGTGTTATACACGAACAGAGCCCAGACTCTCATCAAACTTCACAGGTACGATGAGGCACTCACCGACTGTGAATGGGCGCTCAGGGTGAGTGAGACTAACCATATCTTCAAATGTTGTCTAACTTCAGCTTCACTCCCTGCAATGTTTCAGGCATAAAAACGTTCTACATGAAGAAATAGAAAAGTGTTATGACTTATGTCCAAAATAAAATGAAAAAAATACATTTCACTTTCCTTAATGTAACCTCTATGATCTATTTCTTATGAAATTGGGCATGTGTGTGAACCCTTGTTCATGTTTCTGTATTTTACCATATATTTGTAGGTGTTTCCCAACTGTATAAAGGCCCATATCCACATGGGTCGGGCACACATGGGTCTGGGACAGTATGGGAAGGCTAGAGAGAGTCTCCATAAGGCGCAGGAATGTGACCCCAAACGGGAGGCAGCTATCAAAGGTATTTACACATTGCTGATCTTGATAATTCAACGGGTATTATTTTTATATTTTTATAATTATATATAACAATACTTAAAATTAGATACATGGGTGTCAACCTCTGAAACTTCCAATGAGGGAGATATCAAACGTATTTAGACATTGCTGGCCTTAATGTTTCAACCTTTATTATTTTTTCATGTACAGATTTATGATTTCATATACAATATTAATAATTATATATAACAATATTTATAATTAGATGCATGGGTGTCAACCTCTGAAACCTCGTATGAGGGAGATATCCCTCATTCCACATTTCCAATGAGGGAGAAAGTGTGTGAAACGTGACTGAAATTGCTTTGCTCAATTTATTTGTCCTTTTGTATCAAAATACATGTAACTCCAAAAAGCATTCATTTGATTCAGACACACCTATTATGTTCATTACACACACCATGCAATAACTAGATCATTTGACCACTGGAGGTAGATTATTAGTTTGTGTGAGTTTGGACTTGAAAGAGGGAATTTCGAGGGAGATCGGTAAATTTTGTTCCAAATGAGAGAGTCTGCCTCCTACTAAGGGAAGGTGACAGCTATGTATATATAACTATTTGTAACAAATTAACAATATATGAAAATATATAACAATTATATTGTATTGTGTATCCTTCTTGTAGTGTCCCATTCAACATGTTTTGTCACCTCTGTAAAATGGAGGGAGGCATATTGTTTGAGTAATGGTCTTTGAATCATAATTCTTAAACCATTAAAGATACATCTTTATAAAAGTCTTTGCAGTGTACTGTCATTACATCACTGTGACTCTGTCATTACATCACTGTGACTCTGTCATTACATCACTGTAACTTAAACATTACATCACTGTGACTTAAACATTACATCACTGTGACTTAAACATTACATCACTGTGACTCTGTCATTACATCACTGTGACTTAAACATTACATCACTGTGACTTAAACATTACATCACTGTGACTTAAACATTACATCACTGTGACTCTGTCATTACATCACTGTGACTTAAACATTACATCACTGTGACTTAAACATTACATCACTGTGACTTAAACATTACATCACTGTGACTTAAACATTACATCACTGTGACTTAAACATTACATCACTGTGACTTAAACATTACATCACTGTGACTTAAACATTACATCACTGTGACTTAAACATTACATCACTGTGACTTAAACATTACATCACTGTGACTTAAACATTACATCACTGTGACTTAAACATTACATCACTGTGACTTAAACATTACATCACTGTGACTTAAACATTACATCACTGTGACTTAAACATTACATCACTGTGACTTAAACATTACATCACTGTGACTTAAACATTACATCACTGTGACTTAAACATTACATCACTGTGACTTAAACATTACATCACTGTGACTTAAACATTACATCACTGTGACTTAAACATTACATCACTGTGACTTAAACATTACATCACTGTGACTTAAACATTACATCACTGTGACTTAAACATTACATCACTGTGACTTAAACATTACATCACTGTGACTTAAACATTACATCACTGTGACTTAAACATTACATCACTGTGACTTAAACATTACATCACTGTGACTTAAACATTACATCACTGTGACTTAAACATTACATCACTGTGACTTAAACATTACATCACTGTGACTTAAACATTACATCACTGTGACTTAAACATTACATCACTGTGACTTAAACATTACATCACTGTGACTTAAACATTACATCACTGTGACTTAAACATTACATCACTGTGACTTAAACATTACATCACTGTGACTTAAACATTACATCACTGTGACTTAAACATTACATCACTGTGACTTAAACATTACATCACTGTGACTTAAACATTACATCACTGTGACTTAAACATTACATCACTGTGACTTAAACATTACATCACTGTGACTTAAACATTACATCATTGTGACTTAAACATTACATCACTGTGACTTAAACATTTCATCACTGTGACTCTGTCATTACATCACTGTGACTCTGTCATTACATCACTGTGACTTAAACATTACATCACTGTGACTCTGTCATTACATCACTGTGACTTAAACCACAAAAAGTTATGATTTCTGTCTGAGCCATAGTTTGTAACCATTAAAGAGGTTTAAGTAAATTGATATCACCCACAGAATGTGAACCATAACTGGATGCATATTAAGGGGGAACCTGTTTTGTCCCAGTACAAATATATCTCTGTAAGTAGAGGAACTGCTGAAGCTGATATTGCAATACTTAAAAATAATACTATAATTTTGTATTCAGTCAAAAGTTTTAAAACTGCTTGTATCAAAATTTAAAAAAACACCAGATGATAATAATAGTCCAAAATGCTAACAACATATGATACTAAGCTAAAAACTGCTGACCTTGAGTAATTACCATTGTCCATAGAGTACCTGTCAGAGGTTGATCCTTGAGTAATTACCATTGTCCATAGAGTACCTGTCAGAGGTTGATCCTTGAGTAATTAACACTTGTCCATAAAGTACCTGTCAGAGGTTGATTCTTGAGTAATTAACACTTGTCCATAGAGTACCTGTCATAGGTTGATCCTTGAGTAATTAACACTTGTCCATAGAGTACCTGTCAGAAGTTGATCGACTGGAACTGAAGGAGGAGCAGGAATCTAAAGCCAAGCAGTTGTTTGATTCTGGAGATGAGAGTGCACAAACTGTGGTACAATTACTGGAAAAAGTCTGTAAGCCGGACCAGCTACCTCTGTACTATAGTGGGGGCTTCACGCTGATCTGTAGCAGACTCCAGTCAAGTAAGTATTCTTATAACTGTGATACAATTACTGGAGAAAGTCTGTAAGCCGGACCAGCTACCTCTGTACTATAGTGGGGGCTTCACGCTGATCTGTAGCAGACTCCAGTCAAGTAAGTATTCTTATAACTGTGGTACAATTACTGGAGAAAGTCTGTAAGCTTGACCAGCTACCTCTGAACTATAGTGGGGGCTTCACGCTGATCTGTAACAGACTCCAGTCAAGTAAGTATCCTTATAACTGTGGTACAATTACTGGAGAAAGTCTGTAAGCCAGACCAGCTACCTCTGTACTATAGTGGGGGCTTCATGCTGATCTGTAGCAGACTCCAGTCAAGTAAGTATTCTTATAACTGTGATACAATTACTGGAGAAAGTCTGTAAGCCGGACCAGCTACCTCTGTACTATAGTGGGGGCTTCACGCTGATCTGTAGCAGACTCCAGTCAANGGACAAAGTGTCTGTGTTATGTTGACTCGGACAAGGTGTCTGTATTATGATACTCGGATAAGGTGTCTGTATTATGTTGACTCGGATAAGGTGTCTGTGTTATGTTGACTCGGACAGTATTATGTTGACTCGGACAAGCTGTCTGTGTTATGTTGACTCGGACAAGGTGTCTGTGTTATGTTGACTCGGACAAGGTGTCTGTGTTATGTTGACTTGGACAAGGTGTCTGTGTTATGTTGACTCGGATAAGGTGTCTGTGTTATGTTGACTCGGATAAGGTGTCTGTGTTTTGTTGACTCAGACTAGGTGTCTGTATTATGTTGACTCGGATAAGGTGTCTGTGTTATGTTGACTCGGACAAGGTGTCTGTGTTATGTTGACTCGGACAAGGTGTCTGTGTTATGTTGACTCGGACAAGGTGTCTGTGTTATGTTGACTCGGACAAGGTGTCTGTGTTATGTTGACTCGGACAAGGTGTCTGTGTTATGTTGACTCGGACAAGGTGTCTGTGTTATGTTGACTCGGACAAGGTGTCTGTGTTATGTTGACTCGGACAAGGTGTCTGTGTTATGTTGACTCGGACAAGGTGTCTGTGTTATGTTGACTCGGACAAGGTGTCTGTGTTATGTTGAAGCGTTTAAGGTGTCTGTGTTATGTTGACTCTGGTAAGGTGTCTGTGTTATGTTGAAGCGTTTAAGGTGTCTGTGTTATGTTGACTCGGATAAGGTGTCTGTGTTATGTTGACTTGGATAAGGTGTCTGTGTTTTGTTGAATCGGACAAGGTGTCTGTATTATGTTGACTCGGATAAGCTGTCTGTGTTATGTTGACTCGGACAAGGTGTCTGTACATTTGCAGTAACTCTTGCAGAAATGCTTTGTTTTTATCAAACTTCCTAAAATAACTTGCAGTTTTAATTATTGCTTACTTAAATTGAATTTTAATTCAACATTATTTTTGGTTTTTTTAACAGTGGAAGATAAGACTTTATTCAGGACAAATGGTGGTATTGATCTGTTCTCCACACATTCTTGTTTCTCACGGTGAGTGTGAAAAAATTATAGAAGAATTACTGTTGTTCTGTATTCTTTATCTGTTAACTTTTTCTACTTACCATATAATGGTCTATTTACATAGGCTCAAATTTTCAGCAATTTTGACGCAAGATCAGAAAATTAAATTTACACAGATTATAATTTTGCGTTCTTCACTTGTGAAAGAAAGACATCTGCATGGCGTTTAGTACAGAGATGGAACACTCATCATACGAAGTGTCAAATAGTCAAAGGAATAGGCTTTTACAGCATGTTGGGTAAAATCTAGTAAATGGTAAACAAATCATAAACAAAAATATTACATGTGTGATACATTTTTATGTGACTCTGGATGTAAATGAATCGGTACAACCATATATTTACATTCGCTCCCATTGAAGCTGTGTAAACCGTGACTGCGTATAAATTACCGTATACGCAGTGAGATTCCTTGGAGACCATTGTTTCCTATTGATGACGTAATTTACATTGTGACGTCATAATGGTAACATTGGAGATCCATCGCTGCTCGCAGGCTTTGTACCATTATAAAAGCAAATGTATTGGAGTTAGCTTTATTCTGAGTGTACCATCATAGTAGGAAAATATGTAAATATCAGAATTAATTTCAGTTTGACTGCGTATACAGTAGTATGAACGCAGTTGGCAACGAACATATTCTTTATGGAGCGCTTACGAAGGTCAATCCTTAAATAATCGCTATTTCATGATGACAATATAGTAAGCATTAGGAACTTTATTATCACGAGTTGATAGTAACTTGGCACTCAATAAAACCAAGCTGAAATGAGAGGGATGTTTGATATAGGTTATAGTAAAGATTGGGTATAGACTGATATAGGTTAT